TTAAAGTCCTTATCTTGCGTAATTTACTGTAGCTGAAAGATCATAGAACTGTTTCAAAATGCATTAACTTGTTGGGTCTTATTCCAGTAACACGTGATATAGATCGAATATCGTTTCCTATTTGCTGTAAATCACTTGTTAATATCGGGAAAATGGGTCAAATTCAGAGGTATCCAGAAAAGTCTGGATTCAAACTTGCCGCTGCTTGGTGCTGTGTCGTGACGTCACGTGTGGTTCCGCGAATCCTGGTGAGTTCAGCCCGTCCCAGCATCACACAGTGTAGCATTGCTGGTATAGCCGCATGTCAACTTTGTGTATCAGTGTTTATCTCCGAGTTTGTCTTGTTTTTTCCCGGATTTCCCGAAGCTTTAAGGATCATGGTGAAGAGGTGTGTCGTTGGCGGGTGTAGCAACACCAATCGGGATGGTTTTACCGTTCATTTGTTCCCGAAAGAGAAGGCCGGTGGTGCACATTCGCGTTTTGCTGGCTCGAACCTATACGGTTCTAGGCCTCTTATTTCTGGTGTAAAAGGCGGCAGAGATCGTTCAGATTCATCGTCACTGCTCGCATCGTCCACACCAAATAATTGTTCTGTCAAATTGTGCCAAATACCCAAGCTATTAGCTTTTTCTGATGCGTAAACATCAACAATATTTGACGCCATTTTTCGTTGTGAACTCTCGCTGGCTGCGCGCATTGGCTGTCGATCCGGACGGCAGCAGGGATCCAGACAGCGGCAGCCGGGAACCACACGTGACGTCACGAAATGGCCTGCTTCCAGAAGCAAAGTTTTTTTTATTGGACCTAATATTTTTCCTTTTTTTACATATTATTCAGTATGAAATAAAGAAACATACATTGACTATCTGTTGCATACACCCCCAGAAATCAACTGCCAAAAACATTTTTTAATGTAAGATAAGGACTTTAAGTACATTTTGGCATCAGTACTTTACTCCACTACTTATTGTTCTGACGACTTTTTACTTTTACTTCTTACATGTTGAACACAAATACCTGTACTTTCTACTTCTCACATTTTGAACACAAATACCTGTACTT